ATGTGAGATCTAACTGGACATGTCTAGATTTGATTAACCAAGAAGATAGTTGGTAAAACTCACTTTGGTTTCCTCTTCTAGCTGACGTTTCAGCTCCTCAATCTGCTGAGTAGACGCTTGTTTACTCCTTGAAAGCTGAGAGACTAAAGCATCTTTCTCATCTAATTGTCGGGAATATTCACCTGAGAATAATAGAAGTAAAGGATTTCGTTCATGACCTTAAAAAAATTAGCCTAAAGCTTTTGTATTTACATATATGTGTATATATCAAATCTATACTTTTAAATATTATAGAACTAGTTAGAGCTGGAGATTAAAGACCAGAATTGCCATAGGAGAGTAACAAGTACATATGCTTGCTGATTCTTGCTTTTTTTTTTTTTTCCTCAGCACATTCTGATAGTTTGTTTATCCTTCTCTAAAATGAGAGTATTGCTATTTGTTATGAACCCCTGGTATTGCTTTTATCTGGTACAAAGTTCCAGGACTCAGAGCAAGGCCTTCACCTGACTCTGTCTGCAGGCGCGCTCTCTGAGCCGTCAGGTCGTTGATCAGCCGCTGCTGCTCTTCTTCCTTTGTCTTAAGTTCACTCAGTTGATCTTCTAGAGTGCGGCACATCTTCTCAAGGTTTCCCTATGGACATGTGGCAGTGAAGGATGAGACATTGTATGCAGTAAAAAAAGTTAAAACATGACTCTTAAAATATTTTTAGATTGACTCAATTTATGTTGTGTGAGTAGAAAGTTATGGCACCAACTCTATGGGACATGCTGGGATTCAAGCATGGTGAGTGCATGATGTCCCTAAAGAGGTCACTGTTGGAGCCCATTCATTTATCTCAATAAGACTGACACTTGTTTAAAGTGGATTTTGAAATAATCTTCGTGGGTCATAGCCAGCATTGAACACAATAAAACAGAATGGAATATATTAGAATAGAAAACATTAGATGAATGCTGTAAACTGCGTGCAAAGTGTAATGACAGAGAACAATGGGTGTTCTTACAGGTTATTAATAACCTCATTTAGAGACTGTATTGGGTACCTTGGCCTTGGAAATGGCCTCTGCATTACTGCTGAGGTCATCGATCTCCATCTTCATCTCGCTCTTCTCCTTCTCCAGCTTCTGCTTGACCCTCTGCAGGTTGTCGATCTGCTCCCCGAGCTCAGCTACGCTGTCCGCGTGCTTCTTCCTCAGGGTGGCCGCCGTGGCTTCATGCTGCAGGGTGGCCTCCTCCAGGTCCCTGCGCATTTTCTGGAACTCAGCCTCCCTCTTCTTGTTCATCTCAATCTGGGCTGAAGTTGCCCCGCCGGCTTCTTCCAGGCGCTCGCTGATCTCCTCCAGTTCCCGGGAGAGGTCAGAGCGCTGCTTCTCTGCTTTGGCCCTAGAGGCCCGCTCAGCCTCGATTTCCTCCTCCAGCTCCTCAATGCGGGCCTGCGAGTGACACAAGCACAATAACATAAACTCACCTCAATTTCAGGTTATTTTGGGGTGCATAAAAAAATGGAGGTGAGATGACTCACCTGCAACTCTTTGATCTTCTTCTGTAGTTGAATTTCTACTGCTTGCTCATCTTCAATTTTGCTTAGCAGATTGCTGATTTCAAATTCTTTCCTTTATACAGAAGAACAAGACATTAGTACCCATATGCGTTGAAAGATGATATCACATAAATTTTTTTTTTTCTGGAGTTCCTACTTTTTAAGCTTTTCATCAAGTTGCACTTTGTCATTTTCTATATCCATTGTGGATTCTTGGGACAATTTTAGGTCACCCTCCAGTTTCCTCTTTGCTCTCTCTAGATCCATTCGAATTTTCTTTTCTTGTTCCAGAGACCCTTCAAGCTAACGAGAAGGTAACATTTGTTAAAAATTGAAAGAGTATTAAAACATTTTTTTTCAAATGGTTATTAAAAATACACTTACATCATCCACTTGTTGCTCCAGCTTGGTTTTAGCTTTGGTCAGGGTGTTGACTTTGTCCTCTTCTGCCTGCAGGTCATCCAGGGTCTGCTGGTGGGCCTCTTGGAGGGCCTTCTTCTCCTTGGTCAACTTAGCGATGGTCTCATCCAGGCCTGCCATCTCTTCTGTGAGGTTTTTTACCTACAAGGTTAAAGAAGAAATTGTCTTTACTATAGAGCAGCTTACTGGATGGTAGAACCTCTATATTTTAGTAAAGCAGAATATGATTCATACCTTATTTTCTGTGGCATGTTTCTCTTTTTCAACCTTGGCCAGTGTCAGCTCAAGGTCATCAATGTCTTTCTTCAGTTCTGAACATTCATCCTCCAGTTTCCTCTTCTTGGCCGTCAGCTCAGAATTGATCTCTTCCTCATCCTCAGCTCTCTCATTCACTTCTTTGATTTTGGCCTCGAGCTGGATTTTGGTTTTGATCAGCTGGTCACACCTTTCTTCCGCATCAGCTAAGGCATCTGCTTCCTGTGAGGAGATTCAGTGAGATATTTAGAGAATTTGTTACTTAATTTGAATTTGTTCTTTGCATAAAATAGTAATGTTCACTGAATATTGATGAATTTTCAGTATGAATATAAATTAAACTTAATTGAATGTTATTATATGGCCTAGAGAAATGCAGCTAATTAGAAGTGAGACTATAGCTTTAGAAACAAATTAATCTGCAAAATGATTGGGTTGAAGCAATTGACTTTTAAAAAGCAGTGTGTAGAAGAGTAGAAGGACCAAAGGAAGTCTGGGTTCTTGTCCCAAATTTGCCTCCATATATATGACCTTTATTGCTTTAGTCCCCTTGTGTCCAATTATCTCATATATAATTAAAGGGGTTGGAATAAATGATTGCTAAGAGCATTTCAGATGTAATATTCCAAGATTATGACTTAGTCAAATTGGTTACGTTTGGTTTTGAGCATTCCCTACTCACCTCAAGCAACTAGTTACTAGATTGAATTTTAAAAAGGGAAGAAAAAGAAAAAAAAACTTATGCCTATGAATTTCCATGCAGCATTTTTCATACATTCAGAAGTTTCCTAATAGATCATACAGAGCTATAATTATCCACAATTTTCATTTCCATTTTACTAATTACCTATTAGTCTCAAAACAAATTTTAGAATATATGAGAACATGATTTTGAGAAACCAAATAGCTCAATAACATTTTTATAAGTGACTAAAGGACTCACATAAAAATCAGTTCAGCCACTAATTTATTAGATTATTCTCGCCTGGGGAATTTCTTTGACATCTCAGTGTTTGTCTTATTCATATATTAAGTTTTTTAAATTCTTAAATGGATGATAGTGGGGACTTCCCAGGGTTCCTTTGCATCTCTTTTTAACTGTGAATACACTCGGTGAACTAATGACGATACCTATGAAAGAGGTTAAGATGAAGAGGCTGTGATCCCATGATTTTGGGAAAGCATATCTTTCCCAAGGTATAAGTGAAGTTATTAGAAGGCAAAGCTTCTAATAACTTCAACATTTTAGGACAACTATCCTTTTCACAGGTTTCTTCGTGACCTTTTTGAGCTTGTTGGACCAAGGAAATGGGAGGTTTTGTTTGGCCAGAGCGCAGGTGCCAAACCTTGCCGCACTCTGATTACAACTCCTTGTTGAACCAATAAATAGAGGCGGTAAGAACTCTGGATCTGTATCAAAGGAAGAATCATAGAGCGCACTTGGCTTTACCATGTACCCTGGTAGTTCAGTTCAAGTACCACAAATACATCTAGTGAGCTAAATTTCAGGGGCTGGGGAAAGGAGATACAGATAGAAATTATAACTGCCTTGAATTTAAATATGAGCTCATACATTTGCATTCAGAAAATAGGACTATATTTTAAGACTGGGATGAAGCAGGCAAGGCAAATGGATGGATACAATGAGATTTGGAGGCTTGCCTATAAAATGCTTCCTTCATGGGAAAGTTGTGATATTGATCAACACATTTTTCGATGTTCCCTTTTCCATTTGTAATTTGGAAGTAATTGTGCCTTCATGAGACTATTGAAGGTTAAGTGAAATTCTAAAAAAAGAAAGAACTTGAGATTTCCTTTTTCAAGGAAAGGCCATTTGCAAATCCAAAGTATGTGTGAATTCCAGAAATACTTCAGTAACGTGGTATGTTCAGAATACAGAGTACTCACAGATTGAACCTGGAGTTGCAGGTCGTTTTTGTCTTTCAAGAGAGTGACCATTTTTTCCTCCAGTTCCTTCCTTTTTGCCTCTGACTTGGCCAGTTCATCTTTGATTTTCTGAAACTCTTCCTTCATGGAGGCCATCTCCTTCTCAGTTTCTGCGCTCTTCAGCAGCGGCTTGATCTTGAAGAAGAGTTTCATCCAGGGCCAGTGCTTGACGTTCATGAATGCACGTACATTATACTGGATGCAGAAAAGGGCTTCTCTGAAATGGCATAAAAATATCAGTGTGGATTGATCTATTAGAGGCAATGTTATTGTTATTTATTTATTTATTTTTACACACAAACTCCCCTCTTAATGACCTCCCACATATGAATATAAATGATATGTCAAATTCTGTATATGCTATATGCAGGGTACACACACACACACACACACACACACACACACACACACACACACACACCCTTATACTCACACTCATAATAATCCTCAATATAACCACTTTATTAATGTATGCTGCTCATATTGGACAATTCTGGGTTCTTAAGTCCCTATCAAATTAGCAAAGAAGCTGGCTTTAGAGGGGAAATACTTTACATGGATGAGCATCATGTACATTCTAAGACCATTTGAGATATCACAACATTAGTAATTTGGGAATGGATGTGGCAATTGTAAATTGATTGTGCTGCTTGGCTGTCGGCATACGGGTGTGAACTGTGAAACGGTGGAGGTTGCTTTCTGAATTGTCCACCTAAATAGAGCTTATGATGTATCATGCCTTCCTTGAAGCATCTCCTCTTATTTTACTCACCACTGAATTACACACTCTGTAAACTTCTTTTGTTAGCTTCTTCAGATAATATACTGACTTTTTTCAAATTCTTTCAAATGCCTCATTCTTACCTGCTCAATTAGATTTTTAATATCTACAGGGGAGTTAGCATGGACTGAGCTCCAAAATTTGTTTTATTTAAATAAAATTGTAAAATAGTAATAAAAGATACCACTTCAGCAAACTGTAGCAATGGATAGCAAAGTTTGACTGCCTTGTAGCAATTTGTATATCTCTTCAGGCTTGCTGAAATGGAAATTCCATTTTTATAGGTCCACTTTATAAGAACCATAAAACTCTGAGAAGGCAGATACCATGATACAAATCACAGACACATGTAAAAGACTTGGGAATACTTATAATGCAGACCTAAATAAGTACTTAATGCAGAAAATAAATGCAAAATATGTGTGTAAGGACAGGAAATGCAGTAGTGCTGTGGAGATAGAGCTGGATGAGGTTAATTAAAGAAAGGAAAAATGGAAGTTTTGAATTCATAAATAGATAAATTAGGATGAGGAGAGAGAGCTTGTACAAACCTGAAAATAGGAGATAAACAAATTGTTTAGCCTGGCTGGAAAAGGCTGTGTGGTTGGAAATGATAGATGAAGTGGGGATAGAGAGGGCTCTGAGAGACACACAAGGTAACTTGGATTTGACATGGGAGAGCGTAGTGTGGGGAACCACAAACTGAGATATGGCATGATGAAAATAGTGCTTCCTGAAATTATTCCTGAAGCTGTATGTGAGAAGCCGTAAGAGAGCAATTGGAGGGAAGAGAGAAGTTTTGGACAGGATCCAACTGCGAGGGGGTAAGCAAAAGCTGATGTGTTGTAGGAGTGAGCTCTGAACTGTGTGAAGAGCACAGCTTGGCCACAAAATGAAAGCTAATGAATGAGGAAGGCTGGCTGACGGTCCCTAAGGGACCTCACAATCCTGATGGTTGTTACCTCCTTTGCAACATCTTCTGATATTCTACCCTCATTAGGAATCCCCGACAGACGGCTTGAGTTCTTGTTATAAGCTGGGCCAATTTGTCATCTCTCATTTCTTCCAGAAGACCCAGAAGGCCAGCTTTGAAGAAAACCTGGAGAAAGGGAGAGTCACAAATTATCCCCATACTCCAGGAGACACAGAGATGGCAGAAGATACTTGGCTCAGGTGTAAATAAATTAATAGTTATACCTTTGTATGTCCAAATTTATATTGGGTGTGATCAATATCAATAGAACCAAGGAGCTTCTCAGAGGCCTTCTTGCTGTCGATGAACTGTCCCTCTGGGATAGCACTTGCATTTAGAACTTTGTATCTGTTCAGTCAAAGAAAGAAAGATTAGGAACGTGTGATCATCTATGAAAATCAAGTGACACCCCCCCAAAAAAAAAATCAATAAAAGTCTCAGAGAAAAAGTAAAAAAAATAAAAATAAAAATCCAACTGTCCTTTAAATTCAGATAGTAAATCAATATGATTTTCCTACCGTCTCACGCATGCCTCCTTCCTATTTTTTAAGAAGTGCCACGTTTTCTAACTGGTTATTATGGCCTGCCACGAGACTATGTTATTATTCTATGTTATTATTATAAAACTATTCTTAACTTTGCAAAATTTACTAAGCAGGATCCATGAAATATGATGAACAGAGAACAACAGTTAAGGTGATACATTTTCATGGCATTCAGAGAACTACGACAAGGAGAGACTGACCTTTGTTTAAAGTCCCCATACAGGATTCTGCTGGGGAAGCCCTTCCTGCAGATCCGGATGCCTTCCAGCACACCGTTGCACCTCAGCTGGTGCAGGACAAGCTGATGCTCCATGGCCCCTAAAAATACACCAGAGTACTTACTACAGGGCACTGAATTTTCAAACTTGGGCCTGTCTGAGTATTTCCTGCTCTTCTATCTTACCAGGAGTTTTGGTTTCGTTGGGAATGATGCACCGTACGAAGTGAGGGTGTGTGCACCTCAAGTTGGTCATCAGTTTATTTAAATTCTCCTAGAAAACCAGATAAAAGAGACTTGATAAGAAAGTTCTGTTTCAGATTGCTTTTTGGTAATTATATGGAATGAACGGATGAACGCTCTTAACTACGGTACTAGATATATCTGTGAGGCTTCAATTGTGCTATATTTTAAAGGTCTCAAGAGTTCTGGCCTGCCAAATAACCGAAAGGCCAACATACTGGAAAGAAATGCAGCTCTCCAAGGTAATAATTTATAACATTTAGGATCTGTCCCATAAACAAACTGAAAATTCCGTAGCCTTGAAGTGTCCTCCATCGGGAATCAGAAGACAAAAGACTGTGCCCTTGTTCTGCTACTAATGAATTGCTTGACTCATAAAATCCCTTTTGTCTCTCTGAGCCTCATCTGAAAATAATTGAAATTATCTCTAAGGTCTCTTTCGTCTCTTTCAGTGCTAATAATTTTCACAGTAGTGGTTTACAGTGGTTTACAGTGGTTTACTCGGTTTACAGTGTAACCGAGGTTAGCAATTGTTCCAACTTTTGCCATTCCTTCCTTGAGTTTATTATTCCCTGGGAACTGTAACCCCTTGTTTTGTATTTTGAAGAGTCTAAAATCATGAGACTATATAACTTGAGTACCTGAGAATGACCCACAGTCTGACGCATATAGGGGGAGTTATTCCAGAAGTAATTAGTGATGACAGATGATGATGTTTTACTCGACTTTAGAAAACTCACGTGTAAACATTTCTCAGTATTTCTTAGGTATACTCTTTGAGAAGGCAGAGTTGGTTGCCCCCTTCCCCCACATCTCAGTTTACCATTAGGAAATAAACAAAATAAGTAATGAATTTTTAATCTTGAAAGCATGTACAAGGATAAGTTGATGTCACAAGAGTTTGTTGGGTGAGATAATGCAGATTGCTAGTGAGAAAGAAAAGAACAGGGCAGCGTTCCTGTTTAGGTCATAGGTTATACCTGCATTTAGTTTGAAAAGGATGAGACTTAGCCATACAAATTCAGACAAAGCAGTCATTAGGTCAGACATTTCATACATTCCCCTTTGGAAGAGCCAGTTTTTAAGCCACTTAAGAAAATCACAGTATTTGTAGTAAGTTATTATTGTTCTTTTAATCTCAAGAGATATTGTTTAGCTTAATCATCCATCTGAATCACTAGCCTTGGCTTTAGGTGCTTTTAGGCTGTTACAAAAAATTAAATCCAGAGGCGGCCGGGTGGCTCAGTTGGTTAGAGCGTGAGCTCTGAGCAACAGGGTTGTCGGTTCGATTCCCACATGGGCCAGTTGAACTGCTCCCTCTGCAACTAGATTGAAGACAACGACTTGAGCTGAGCTGCCACTGAGTTTCCAGTGGGCAGCCAGATGGCTCAGTTGGTTAGAGCACATGCTCTTAACAAGGTTGCTGTTTCAACTCCCACATGGGAAGGTGGGCTGCGCCCCTGGCAACTAGATTGAACACTGGCAACTGGACTTGGAGCTGAGCTGCACCCTCCACAACTAAGATTGAAGGACAACTTGACTTGGAGCTGATGGGTCCTGGGAAAAACACACTGTTCCACAATAAAGTTAAAAAAAATTTAAATCCACCTTAGAGGACAAAGATGTGTTTTGGTGGAAGGATGTCCTAAAGCATGTATCTCAGGTTCATTGTCAAAGAGGAACTCACGAACATTCTCAAAGGGCAACATTAGCAGAACAAAGATACGGCCTTCCATGGGGATGGCTTTGAGGTTCAGCTATGCTTCCTTAAAAACAAGCCTTATATAATAAGAAAGCTTCTAAGGACACTTTGGCATTTCTGAATACATTAGATGATCATAATAACGAATAATGGGTAAAGCATCTAACCCTACAGTACAAGTATTGGTTTGGCTACACCCTGACAAGAGTGAATATTTGAAGTGATTCCTATTAACATTCCATTCTGTCCTAATTTTATTCTGAATCTAATAATTATGATAATTCATAGAAACTGAATAGGTTTCTTGAATTAAATGTGTACTTTACCCGGAAAAGAGCTGACACAGTCTGGAAAGAAGAGCCCTTCTTCTTAGCACCTTTCTTTGCTCCACTCTCTGAGGTAAAAAGAAAACCCATCAATTAAAGTAGAGCCCAGAGGCTAGAATGGTATGTGAATATTCTGAGGGGATAGGTTTATGTTAGATTAAGGGCACAGAAAATACCTGCTTCAGAGCCAGCATAGGTGGAAAAGAGACTGGCCAGAGTCTTCATTGAAGATTTCTGGTACAGCCCGACCACGGTCTCGTTCAGCGGGTCCTTGTTCTTGTCAAGCCAGCCGGTGATGTTGTAATCCACGGTGCCCGCGTAATGCACCAGTGAGAAGTGGGCCTCGGCCTTGCCTTTGACCACCTTGGGCTTCTGGAAGTTGGCAGACTTGCCCAGGTGCTGGTCATACAGCTTGTTCTTGAAGGAAGTGTCTGTGGCCTTGGGGAACATGCACTCCTCTTCCAGGATGGAGAAGATGCCCATAGGCTAGATTAAGGCAAGGTAAAATGCAGATGGGGAAAACGTGAGCTGCAGTGGTGAGTGGCAGAGTATACGAGGAGAGGAGACTGAATGGATAGAATAGGATACCTTCTCGATGAGCTCGATGCAGGCAGCCAGGTCCATCCCAAAGTCAATGAATGTCCACTCGATGCCCTCCTTCTTGTACTCCTCCTGCTCCAGCACGAACATGTGGTGGTTGAAAAACTGTTGCAGTTTCTCGTTGGTGAAGTTGATGCACAGCTGCTCCAGGCTGTTGTACTGCACAAAACAAAAATTTCAACATCAAATGGATTTTTATAACAGCAAAATTCATGATTGAAAAAATATTTTATTGAAAAAATGTGGAAGATAGTTAATGAAATAAAAATTTTTTTCTTTTCTTTTTTGTATGAAATTAAATTTAATTGTTGTTCCTTCAGAAATCCCAGGGGGGGAAAATGATTATTTTTGACATGAACCCTTTTCATGAATTCTGGGCATTATTTAAAGGCATAGATGTCAATCACACCAGGAGTCCTGGTAGAATCTACCTGCTTCCACCTCTAAAATTGCTTGAACAATAACATACATTAAAAGTACAATCATGATCCTTTGAGTTATGGTTCAGATTTAAGAGTGAAAGTAATTTATTGGAAAACCTCACTTCTTTTACCACCCCCACTCTCCAATTCAAGGTAAAGTTCACATTTTTGCTTTTGGCTGTCACATTATTAAGGAAAGCTTATCTAATTTCTCTTCTATTCATATCAAAAATTTGGCAAATCCTCCCTGTCAGGTCTGTGAAGGTAGAGACTTGATGTGGTGTAACAACTGAAGATCTGAAAGAGTCTTTGTAAAAATTTACATCCTCATTTTATAGCTGATGAAGCTGACGCCCCAGAGGGGACATGGTATGTGTCACGTCAACCTGGAAGAGAAAAGACTGTGAACTGTCTCCATGCTTCTACCTTTAGGCCCTTTCTTCTCCATGGGCGATGCCCTGTGTATAGACCAAATGCCCAGATCTGGGTTCCTTTCCTGGCTTTGCTTTATATGATCATAGGATCTTTAGCAAGTGTTTTGATTTCCCTGATCTCCACATGTAATTAGCAGTAATATTAACTCCTTCGTGAGTTGTTTTGAAGATTAAATCAAGTAACATTCTGAAGTGCTTAGTATAGTGCCATAAATACACAGAATTCTCAATAAATCTTAGCTATTATTATTCCATTCTGTTACCTCCCAGATATTTTGGAGGTAACTGTAGGTGCAATGCTGGAGAAAGCAATGTGGAAACTACAAATGTAAATGAGTTATGATAATACCCAATATGTATATCAAAGTCCAAGTTACTCTGCTCCCACTTTTTATTAATATAAATATAACTCACATCGAAGATCTCAAAGCCAGCGATGTCCAAGACCCCGATGAAGTACTGCCGGGGCTGCTTGGTGTCCAGCTGCTGGTTGATACGGGCGACCATCCACAGGAACATCTTCTCATAGACGGCTTTGGCCAGAGCACCCACTGCATTGTACACCTGCATGGACAGAGTAATGTTTTTGGTGTTATTAAAGGCATTATTAAAGGAGTAATGTTTGTTGGCATTATGACAGAGCTGGGATGTGTGTGATGCATTGATGTCATGAATTTACCTGCTGCACAGTCTGGCCTTTGGTGACATACTCATTGCCAACCTTGACCCTGGGGTAGCAGAGGGCTTTGAGCAGGTCAGAAGAGTTCAGATTCTGGAGGTAGGCTGCCTTGTCAGCAACTGCAGAGACACAATTCAAGAAATGTTGGTTAATGGTGGATATCCTTTTTAACCTAATCTTGCCATTTTCCTCCAATCCATTTTCTTTATTATTTAAATAAAACCTTTAAATAATTCTACAGAATATCAGATGAGGCTCTCTGTACATTCAAGGATATATTATACTTGCTAATAAGTGGTCAATCAGTTGTACTGGCCTTCGGTGATTTATTGCAGGTAGCTTTTGAGAAATTCAACAATAAACATGTTCACTGTTTATGGAAATGCTTTACGCCTAATCATTATGTTGTTTTGTATACCTGAAACTAATAAAAAAATAAAAAAAGAAAGAAAAGCTTTATGTAAGGCACAAGCCAGAGTCCCTGCACTTAAGAATTAGGTATAGTTGGAAATATAAAATAGGTACATCTTAGTATTCATTGTTAGGGGTGCATAAAAGAATATTTGGATCCTTATCTCAGTTTTGCTCCTCCCAATTTCACCTCATTGGATCAGTTTCTTTATCTGAAAATGTGGGAATTAAATTGCGCTAAAGTCCCTTTCTAAAATCCTGTCAGTGACTATAATACAAATGCCACGTGTCAGGTACAAAAATAACTGCTGAAAAGCTGAGAGGAGGAAGAGAGAATGTCAAGCTAGGAGGTCAGGAAGGGCTTCAAGGAGCAGATACCTTTAGCTTCCATGGTAGGTCCTATACAGTCCTTGTTTCCATACATATAGTATACGAGTTTTCTTTCTCAATTCCTTTTTCATCTTATTTGCTGCCTAGACTGTCTATAGGCTTAAATATAGACAACACACACATGTACACAGATATCTAGGGACATTCTGCACGCCCAGCTGTGTTTGGGCAGATCCCGTATTACCAGCCACTAGGTTTACCTAAGTGGTGCTGAACTCGACCTCTAGGCCAAGTTATCTTGCATACATACCTACACACCATTGCCAAGGTAAAGCAGGAGCACTGTTCCATCTCATTCTCTCTCTCATGATCTGGCCTCAGATTGTGTGTTTTAGGTATCTCCTTAAAATTGGCTATTAGGGTTCATTTTAACCTATTTGGGCTGGATAGAAATGATGGAAATATGGAGATGTGCAGAAGGAAAGAGGGTGAGGAAAGCATGTAATGTGTGTATGCACTTCAGAAGTCCAGCTACAAAGGGGACGTGAATTTAGAATAGGCTTTTTTTTTCTTGCCAGATTCTCTGATTCAAACCCAGATGGAGCTTCATTTGGTACCTTCGGTGCCGTCTGGCTCCGCTTGCTCCTCACGCTGCTTTTGCTTGAACTTCATGTTCCCATAATGCATCACTGCCCCTGTGAGTTTATAAATGGACACTTTCTCTTCAGGGGTAAAGCCCAGGATGTCAATGGCGCTCTGCCAGGAGAAATGACAGGACAAAGGTTAGGGTAGAGGAGACTAACTTACTTAGGATAATTTATACTATATCCTAAGGTAACCACACTTACAGTAGGTTGCTATTGTCACTCCCATACATAATATATTTTTTTAAAAAGTGTGTATGTGTGACTTACATCAGTGGCCATCAGCTCTTCCTGGTCATCAATGCTGGGGACTGTGATCTCCCCTTGACTGACGAAGGCGAAGTCATATGGGTTGGTGGTGATCAGAAGCATTTCTGTGTACACAGATTTTGGGGGATATGTTTTACATTAGAAGTTGTTAATAAAAATATTATCTTTCATCTGTGAATTTAAGATCTTTCTTACCAATCAGATCTGGCTTCTTATTGGAAGTAATCTGATAAAAGATATGGTAACTTCTTTCCGCCTTTAGCTGGAAAGTAACTCTAGACTTTTCTAGAAGATCTGGAAGGAAAGGGAAATAGACATTGAATTAGAAAAAATATCCATGCTGCTGAGAAATTCAATGAAACTTAGTGTCTGTGCTACAATTCTGGACATCACACAGGTTCCACTGAGATTTCGGTTTGATGGTGGATCCTCCTGGTGCATCATATATGAATTCCAAATACATGTGGCAACTGCCCAAGGTTCTCACCATCTAAGAGCAGAGACTGAAGCATATCTACTCTGGGAAAAATAAACTTTTCCTGTGCGTGCCCCATGGCTTCTGTATTATAATTCATCCTTAACATCCCTTCCTTCCTTAGATCACCTCAGGCTCTATGTCAGGGGCTTCCTTGCAAACACTAACCAAAGCTCAGATCAAGAGCAAATCACAGAGATGTATTGTAAACCTATAGGTAACTTGTAGCAACACATAAATAGCCCTAGTGTTTGTCCTAGAAAAAAATGTCATAGCTGTTTCTGTGGCAGGAATTCCAGAATGTGCTGTAGAGCCATCAGTCTGAGATTAAGGTAAATGGAACACATAGTGGATTATGGATAAGTCTGGCATTGGCTCGTGGGCAACACCGGCAGCAGGTCCAATGCACACCAACTGTTGCAAAATATTCCTGCCAATGAAATCACTTGTCTCTCTGTTTTGATTTTCAGTGGTCCTGTTACTCACATGTTTCAATATCTGCAGAAGCCAGCTTCCCTGTAGTACCAAAGTGGATTCTAATGAATTTACCCTTGGAAAGAGAAAGATTATTTTGTATTAAAAATTTGAAGCACATAGTGATGCAATTGAAATTATAATTCAGATATGGCTACTCTGGCATTTAAGGACAGAGAAGACTCCTCTGTGACCAAATAGACTTACAAAGCGCGAGGAGTTGTCATTCCTCACGGTCTTGGCATTGCCAAAGGCCTCCAGCAGGGGGTTGGCGCTGATGATCTGATCTTCCAGAGTCCCCTGCAAAGGCAAGAGCAGTCCTCACATCTGGGGCTCCAGACTTCCTGAGAGCCCGGGCTGTCCTGTTTCTGACTCTGGCCGTCAGACTCACCTTCATTTTGCCAGTTTCCTCTTTTTTCTTCTCTCCAGTGACTGCAATTGTTGCAAAGTACTGGATGACACGCTTGGTGTTCACAGTCTTCCCTGCACCAGATTCTCCGCTGTCAAATAGAAACCAGAGAAGAGATCAAAACTACAGCTCACATTGCCATCATCTAAGATACTCACCACAAATGAGAGAAGAAGAAAAAAAACCACATACGTGATCAGGATGGACTGGTTCTCACGATCTGTGAAAGAGAAATCAAGACCATCATTTAAACACACACACGTGCACACACACAATCAATATGAAGATTTTTAAATCAGTTCAGATCAAACACAGCCTGTCTATATTTTTTTAACATTTTGTAGACGTTTCCTATTATTTTGGTTTCGTATTTATTCCCCTAAAACCATTTACCTCTGGGAGTAAAATTTATGAAAATGAGAGGCAAAGAATCATCTATTTTTTGTGCTTTATTAATTTTTAACTTTTGTTATGGAAAATTTCAAGAAGATATAAAAGTAGAGACAATAATATAAAGAACTCCCATGTACCCATCATACAGCTTCAGCAGTTATTCTCATTCGGTCAATTTTATAAAATCTACACCCCCATCCAAATCTCACTGTATTATTTTAGAGAAATAATTTCATATAATTTCATCATATAATTTCATCTGTAAAAGAATCATAGGGCCAACCAAGTGGTGCGTTGATTAAGAGTTGGCTTGGGATGCCAGCTCTGAGCAGCAGGGCCCCGGTTTGGATCCCACATGAGGGCCAGTGACACTGCCC